TCACCGTGTTAGCCAGGATGGTCTCGATCTCCTGACCTCGTGATCCGCCCGTCTCGGCCTCCCAAAGTGCTGGGATTATAGGCTTGAGTCACCGCGCCCGGCCTGATTTTCTAATATTAAACCAACCTTGCATTCCTGAGATGAATCCAACTTGGTCCTTGATATATTCGTGTTTTTACACATTGCAAGACTCTTGTTTATAATTTGTGTAGGACTTTTGCATTCTTTTCATGAGTGGTATTGGTCTAAATGTTTTTTTCTCATAGAGTCCTGGTCAGATTTGGTTTCAAGATTATTCTGGCCCCATAAGCTGAGCAGTGTTCTGTGTTTTTCTATATGGTGGACTTGTTCATGGAAGACTGGAATTGTACATCTGGAGTATTTGGTAGAACTACAAGTAAAGGCCAGGCGCGGTGGCTCACACCTGTAATCCCAGCACTTTGGGAGGCCGAGGAGGGCGGATCACGAGGTCAGGAGATCAAGACTGTCCTGGCCATCGTGGTAAAACCCCATCTCTACTAAAAATACAAAAAAGTAGCCAGGCGTGGTGGTGGGCGCCTGTAGTCCCAGCTACTGGGGAGGCTGAGGCAGGAGAATGGCAGGAACCCGGGAGGCAGAGCTTGCAGTGCAGTGAGCCGAGATCGCACTACTGCACTCCAGCCTGGGTGGCAGAGCGAGACTCCGTCTCAAAAAAAAAGAACTACAAGTAAAACCCTTTGGGTTGGACCTTTACTTTTTAACTACTGATTCTGATTTCTGCATGGTTATAGAAATACTTGGATTTATTTTTCTTGTCAGTTTTTCTAGAATTTGTCAGTTCACTGGTGTTTTGAAACGTACTGGCGTGGGTTGTCATTGCAGCATGCAGCGTTTTTCATCATCTACAGCATCTTTAGTTACACGCTTGGTGTTCCCAACATTGTGTACATCTTCCTTCTGTTTCCTGATCAATCCTATTGGATAAACTGATTACTGTTTTCAAAGAACCAGCTTTTTAACTCTCTTGGTTTTAATTCCTGTTTTGTTTTTCTTTCCCTCTGCTTTCAGTTTATTTGCTGTTTTGCCCCTAACTTTTAAGCTAGATCTTCTGTTGTGATATAAGCATTTAAGGCTATGTATTTTCCTTTAAGCCCTGCTTTTGCTGTTCCACAGATGCTCATACATTTCCAGATCTTTGGAGAGTTTTCTGGGGGTTTTGTTTGATTGGTTTGGGTTTTTCATTAGTGAATATTGAAGACTAAGTGAACATGAGATGAAAGTCTCAGGCCTTTGACATTTAAGATTCATTTCATGTCCAGTGTGTTTCCTTGTATATTTCCTTCCATCATTTTACTTTCTTCATCGCTCCTAGGTAATTTCAAAAAGTTCTTTTTTTTTTTTTTTGAGACAGGGTCTGGAGTGCAGTGGTGCAATCTTGGCTCACTGCAACCTCCACCACCCAGGTTCAAGCGATTCTCCTGCCTCAGCCTCCCAAGTATCTTGGACTACAGGTGCGTGCCACCACACCCAGCTAATTTTTATATTTTTAGTAGAGACAGGGTTTCTCCATGTTGGCCAGGCTGCTCTCGATTTCCTGACCTCAAGTGATCCACCTGCCTTGGCTCCCAAAGTGCTGGAATTACAGGCGTGAGCCACTGTGCCGGGCCTCAGAAAGTTCTTTTTGATCCTAGGTATTTGGTTGTGTTCTGCAAGAGGGTTCTGACCGGCGCTGTCCAGCACAAACATGTATGAGTCATACGTGAATTTCACCTTTTCTAATAGCCACCTTTAAAAGGTTAAAAAAGAATACACCAAAGCAGATGAAATCATATGTTTTATTTAACCCATCCTATCAAAAATTTCAACATGTCATCAAGGAAAAAGAAACGTGTATTTTACATTATTTTGTTCCTACTAAGTCTGAGCCCTGGCACATGGTTTACACCAACACCCACACCTCAGCTCACACTGGCTGTGTGGCAGGTGCCCTCTGGCCATCTCAGCCGGGCACTCCGTGTCCAGTGTTGCCCACCAGCCATTGCTGGGGCTGTGGGTACATCTGATAAAATGCACCTGCAGCCTTGGCGACGCCTGCCGTCCTGCCCCTTTGTGAACCATGGACCCGCATGCCCCCATGCCTGTCCCAGTGCCGCATGGGATGTCTGTGCTGGTGGCAGGCCTTTCCTTGTCAGGCACAGCCACTGCCCCTGCCCCCCAGGAGGCTTTGCTCCCCCGGGCCCCTGAAGCCTGCTCTGCTGCAGGCCCAAGTATCTCTCCAGCCGCAGGCCCCTGAGGAGCCCCTGGGTCTCTGGGCCCCACAGCACTGCCAGGCCCTGTGTAGAGGGACTCAGACTCCGTGTCGCAGGAAGGAATGAGTGAGTGAGTGAGGGTGTGAGCAGTGACCTGCGCCTGGCTTCCACCTGGGGGCATGGCGGGGGCCACACCACAGGATCCAGGGAGGGTAGAGGGGACAGTGCAGGGAGGGTAGGGGGGACAGTGCAGGGAGGGTAGGGGGACAGTGCAGGGAGGGTAGGGGGACAGTGCAGGAAGGGTTAGGGGTGCAGTGCCGGGAGGGTAGGGGGACAGTGCAGGGAAGGGATATGGGGACAGAGCAGGGAGGGTGGGGGACAGTGCAGGGAGGGTATGGGGACAGTGCAGGGAGGGGAGGAGAACAGTGCGGGGAGGGTAGGGGGAGAGTGCGGGGAGGGTAGGGGGAGAGTGCGGGGAGGGTAGGGGGACAGTGCAGGGCCCGGTTCTGAGCAGGTGCTCACGGCCAGCCCCAGGTACAGGAGCAGCACCTGGGATCCCAGATTCTTAGGTCAGGTGCCCAGCAAGGGACTGTGTGGCTGGGAGGATGTGGGTTTGAGGCTGTGGCGCCCCACGAGCTGGGAGCCTCCAGCCTCTCTGCTGCTGCCACAGGTTTGAGCTTCACTCTTGGTGGGTCAGGCAGGGAGCTTGTCACAGTTCGCATTGGGGACGCTTGTCGCCTAGTCCCATGAAGAACAGTTTGGGTGCCCCATGCAGTGGGCTCTGCAGGGTGAGGGGGAGGGCATAGCCTCCCTGAAAGGCCTTGGGCACGAGAGAAGCAGGCAGCTGGGCTGCAGAGCAGAGCCCAGGAGGGGTGGGCAGAGGAAGGGCAGGCTGGGCGCCCTGTTCCACAGGCCGGACTGGGCCGCTGGGGCCTTGGGCAGCCTCTTTGTGTTTCCCTGTGGGCCTGGTAGGAGAGCTGGGGCCATGTTGCTGCCCAGAGCACCTGCTGGCTGGCACACCCCCTGCCCCGTGGGTATAATTAGCGCTGTGACAGGTGCTAGGGATCGCGTGCCCAGCCCAGCCCTGACCCAGTGCGGCCTGGCCTTGGCTGACCTGCCGCACCCTCCCCTGGCCCAGCCCAAGACCTCCAGGTCTGTAGCCACAGCCACCTTCCCGGGCTCCCTCTGTGCTGCCAGGATGGGCGGGCTGGGGTCTGGCAGAGGCAGCGGGTGGGCCGAGCCCTGAGCTGTGGCCTGGCTGCAGGTTCTGGGAGTCCGCAGGCTGGCCCAGCCCCGCCCTGCTCTCAGTCTGTGCCCAGGGCTTGCAGTTGCTGAGGGGCCTCTTATGGGTGGGTGAGGGCCCAGGTGGAACCTCTCTGGCCTGGTGGCCTCAGCCTTCCAAGAGGAAGCCTTTGCCCCAAGACTTGGGCAGAGCCTATGGGGCCCCGTGGTCACTCGGGGGGCCTGGCCTGGCCCTCTTTGCCCTCCCCGTGCAGCGCCACAGCCTCCAGCCGGCCCACCCACCCGCACCCCTTCTCTCTGCAGTGCAAGAAGAAACACACGCTGCTGTGCCCCGACTTCGCCCGCAGGGGGGCGTGTCCCCGCGGCGCCCAGTGCCAGCTGCTCCACCGCACCCAGAAACGCCACAGTCGGCGGGCAGCCACGTCCCCTGCCCCAGGGCCCAGCGACGCAGCTGCCAGGAGCAGGGCCTCGGCCAGCCACGGGCCCAGGTGATGGGGCAGTGGGCGCTGTACATGTGAGCCTGGGTGGCCCCTCCCTGTCCAGGGAGATGCTCAGGGCCCTCTGGTTGAGCCCCCCAACTCCAGCTCTTTGGGCCTCAGACCCAGAAATCCCAATCCAAGACTGGGGATCACATGACCTCCAGAGATTCCCCTACCCCACTTTCAAGTCTGGACAGAGCCAAGGGCATTCCTGGCCGATGGAGGAAGGTGGGGCTTCACAGAGACCTGCTCACTGGGAGAGGGTGGGAGGCCCAGCCCCGGGAGGAGTCTGGGGGCTCCCTCATCCAGCCCCCCTGCTATGTGGGTGTGAGAGCCCCATGGAGACCAGGAAGCCAAGGCCCTGGACGTGAGGGGCAGGCTTGTTGTGGAGCTGGGGCCTTCTCCACACCCAGCCTGTCCTTGCGGCCAAGGACCAGGCTTGACCTGTGCCTCCAGCTCACCCTGAGACCACGGGGGGCCACGGGAGCAGGAAGCAGCCAAGAGCATGGGCAGCCTGTCGGTGGGATCCCCGCCTGTCACCCCACTTCACACGTCTGCCCCTTCCTTCCCTGCAGGAAGCCCTCGGCAGCCCAGCGTCCCATCAGGCAGACGCCCAGCTCCCCTGCCCTCACTGCAGCTGCGCTGGCTGCACCTCCCCGCTCCCCAGGGGGGTCAGCCTCTCCCTCATCCTTGAAGGCTTCCTCCTCCTCTTGTTCCTCCTCCTCCTCATCCCCTCCCGCTTCCTTGGACCACGAGGCACCATCTCTCCAGGAGGCCGCCTTAGCAGCGGCACGCTCCAACAGGCTCTGCAAGCTGCCTTCCTTCATCTCCCTGCAGTCCTCACCGAGCCCAGGAGCCCAACCCAGGGTCCGGGCCCCCAGGGCCCCCCTCACCAAGGACTCAGGTAGGCAGCGTGACCTGGCTCAAGCACAGGGGAGTTTTAAATGCCCACCTCAGACCACCACGTCAGAATCTCCAGGTGGGGCCTGGGTGAGTCCCGCAGGCGCCAGGGGTGCACCTGCCAGCCCTGGGGCAGGGCCAGCCAAGGTGTGAGTGTAGCAGTGGCCGCTGTGCAGTCCGCCCCAGCTGAGGGCTGATTTAATTAGAAAGCACCCATTTCTGTTAATTTGTTCTGGAAGATCACCACGCACTCCTGGAGAGAACAGATGTTCCCTCTCCCCCGATGAGCATTTGGGGCTTGGTAAATGGCTCCACTCAGCCTTGTTTAGGAGAGAAAAGAGGATTTTATGGCTGCAAACGACCCTTTCTGTAAACATTTTACAGCTCTCCGCGCGTTTGAGTGACGATAAACCCCACGCAGCTCGGCGGGCTGCAAATTTGCGACCATACGGCTATCATTTTATTGTCATATTTCACGGTCGTAACGTTAATGGAAGATGCTTGCTGCAGCCTTCTCCAACAGCTCCGCTGAGCACGCTCAAACGCCTGCCTCGGAGGGCCGCCTCCTGTTCACAGCCTTCACATCAGGGGCATGGAACCGTGGCCAGACCCTCTGCCCCACAAGACCTGGGCACCCGCTCCCTCCATCTGGGTGGGCCTCTCTGGGTTGGGGGAGCAGATGGGGCCCCGAGGCAGCCACTATTTTTTTTTTTTTTAAAGATCAGGAACCTAGCAGCCAGTTCCAGAGCCAGTGGAGGTGGGCAGGGTGCTGAGGGGTCCAGTGTGCAGCTTGGGTGGGGCCCCGGAAAGGCTGCAGAAACCTCCCCTGCTTGGCCATGGCCAGGAGCTCCGGCAGGCGGAGGTGCCTGGGACAGTCTCTGGGCAGGAAGCTGGAGCTGCTACTGGAGCGGCCACCGCAGGGGCAGGCTGAGAGGGCAGAGCCTGTGTAGTCTGTAGCCTGGGCCCTGGCTGCTGGGCCCAACTCAACTGTGCGTGGGTGAGCGGGCTCATCAGCCCTGAAGAGGGGCACCTGGGCAGGGCCAGTCCTGTGGGCAGCTACACGGAGGCATCTCTAGTCAGCGGGCCGCCGCGGTGCCTGTCAGGTGGTCTGGAGATCTGGGGAGGGAGGAGAGGCGCTGGCACCCAGTGAGTGCACATTCATGGGGCAGGAGCCCCTGGGCTTCCCCACTGTGGGGAACTGCTCCCTCCTACGCTACCTGCCTCCAGGCCCTGCCCGCCTCACCCTGGGGCCTCTGCTCTGCTCCTGCCCCTCCCCGCCACAGCTCATGTGCACCCCGACTTGCCACATGGAAGGTGTATCGTGGCCGCCTCACGTGTCTGGCAGCCTCACTGATTGTGCGGGGTTGTCTGGTGCTGTGTGCGCCGGTACTGACGGCTCACCCTGTAGACCTTGGGGCCAGGACTGCTGCCCGCCCAAGAGGACCCTTGGACTGTAGGCAGAAGCCTCAGTTGACCTCATAGACTGAGCCTGCACCATGGCTAGACAGCCACAGAGGCTCACCAGGACCCGTTGGCAGCAGGGGGCAGAAGCTGAGGCCTGTGGCCTGACTGTACTCTTCTCTCTAGAACTCGGGGGGGTGTCTGCAGACCCTGCCATGTGTGTTTAGGCTGACAGAACTCCCCCGTCCTGAGCCCCTGACCAGGAGCTTTGCAGGCTGGGAGGTTCTTCGGGGGTTTCCTGGCACCTGACTTTTGCCCTCTCTACATAGGGAAGCCTCTGCACATCAAACCGCGTCTGTGAGGACCCCAGGAACCGGCCTGCACCTACCTCAGACCCTCATCCTTGGAGAGGAAAGAGGCTCTGTCTGCCACTCTGTCCCAGAGGAGGGCCGCCCACCACCAAGCCTCACCTGGGGGCCACAGGGACACTGCTCTGCCTGCCTGGCCCTCAACCTTCCATGACCAGCGTGTGCCCAGGGCCTGGTCTTCCTCCCCCAAGCTGGGCCCCTGTCCCCACCCCACCGCCCTCCAGGGTGCCAGGCAGGGCTGGCCTCCAGGCCTGTCCCCGACTGCCATTGGCAACAGTGGCCCTGCAGCCCCCCAGCCCTCCCCACCCAGGTCTTCGGCCCAGTGAAGAGGCCACTGGCCGGGCCTCCCAGGCAGGTGTTTTATGTTCAGCAATAAAGGTTCTGTCCGTAACTGGTTGGCTTGTCCTGACTCTTGCCACTGCCAGGTGGAAAGCACCGCGCCTCTGGGCAGGACTGTGGGGCCCTCTCCTACCTCCCAGGATGGTTCAGAAGTCAGAAGGAGCTTCTCCTTGGACCTGAGCAGCACCATCTGGGGTGGGGAAGGCCTAGGGGGCACTCTGGGGCCCCAGGTGCAACAGGCTGGAGCCATGGTGGGCGGGGCAGCTCAGCCAGCTCCCAGCTCCCCCACTCTTCACGGGTGCCCCTGCTGGAGGGGCCTGGCCAGAAGGCCTGGCTGAGGTTGTGTCAGGGACCCTGGATTGGGGGAGGCAAGTCTTGGAGGGGCACAGGCTCCTCTAGGCATCCGTTCCCACCTTCCCTCACCTCCAGAGAAATGGGGGGTTGCCCCGGGGGAGGCAGGTCAGCAACGCCTTCAGGGCCCCCACAGTGCAGCGTGGAGTCAGATGCATGAGCCTTGTGCCCTCTGCCTGCCTGGGCTCCGGGTGGGTGGCACTGCCACTGCCCAGCCCACACCCCGCAGGGCCCCTTGGCCTGGTCCACACTTGGGCGGGGAGAATGCTCCGCCCCCTCGAGGTCCTGGACTCCACCCTGGAGTGGAGTGTCCTGACGCTGGCATCAGAGGGGACGAGGCGCGAGGCTGGTGGGATGGTTCTACCAGGGCGCGTGCTGGGTGACACGGCGGCAGTTTCCAGTTCTTTCCATGGAGGTCGTCGCTGTGACCTCTACCCTGAGCCCCTGGGACCCAGCCTGTAGCCTTGGCCCTGTTGCAGCCAGATTGGGTGGGATGGCAGATTCTGGAAGCCAGAGCTGTGGGCGGGGTGTGCCCAGCTGGCTTCTGTCCCCTCCAGCACTGGCCCAGCTCACCCAGACCCAGGTGTTCACAGGGGCTCGTGTCCTTGTTCGGGACCCCAGATTTGAGGGCGGGCACCGGGTGGACATGAGGCAGCCAGATCCTCTAACTTCACTTCGTGCCACTGGCAAGTGTCTGCTGCAGGCCCAGTGGGCAGCTGGACCCACCCATGGGTGCCACTGCTTTCAGCCGCCCTGGGGCTGGCACACGGCCCTGAAACATGAAATGTCCGTGGGTGGTGGGTGGTGGGGGGTAGGGAATAGGCGCCCTGTCCACCCAGCACCTGTCTGGGACTGTGAGCGCTGCTATCTGACACACGGCATGGCCACTTGCAGGCCTGGAGCACTGCTCGTGGGCAAGGGGTGTGACGGCAGTTCAGCGCCAGGTCCACTGTCCCCAAATGCAGCCCCTGCCCCGGAGCAGCCAGCAGGAAGGTTCAGAAAAGGCTGGCCACTGCCTTCGGGGGGCACCATGGTGTCCCAGTACCCCACCTGGGGACCTTGTGCAGCCCGGGCTCTGCCTGGTCACAAGTCCCTGCGTTTCCCCTGCATGGAGTGTGCCCATTTGGTCACATGAGGCCCCTCATGCCAAGGGGCAGCTGGCAGCAGACCAGTGACTGCCAGGGCACCTGGCCAAGGGACCCGGGAGGCTGGGACTAGGAGAGTCCCTGCCCCTGCATTGACCATGGCCCCAGCTGAGGACAGCCTGGTGGAATGTACCCTGCTGGGGTGGTCAGACGAGGGCTTCCTGAGGAGAGGGGTGCGTAACCCTGCACCCAAGCCCATGCGTGCAGCAGAGTGGTGTGTACTGGGGCAGCCGGAGGGAAACCCCACAGCGGAAGCACACGGCACCCTGGGGGGTCCTCAGAGCCCTGGTGGGGCATGGCCGGGTCACAGGCAGGTGATGCCCCCACCCAGCGCCAAGCAGATGGGTTTTAGGGCTGTTGCCTCGTCTGAGGGAGATGTGATGGCCACAGAGGTGGGAGCCGTGGGCAGAGTCCAGGGCCACTGCGGGAGGTGGATGGGCGAGCGGGCAGGGGGGCAGCAGTGACTTCAGAGTGTGGCTCTGTGTCCCGTGCGCCTGGAGGGGTGTCGGCTGGGCAATCAGATGCTGTCCTGGAGTCCCCTGGGGGCTGGGAGGTGACCGAAGGGTGAGTGTCTGGGGGTCAGCCGGGAGCGCCCGCACCTTCCTGGGCTAAGCCTGTGCCCATCCTGCCTCTGGGCTGAGGGCTGACCCTGCGTCGCTTAGCGCCCAGCAGCACGGGAGCTCAGAGGGCAGGGAGTTGGGCGTGTCGTGGCTGAGCGAGCGCCCTGACTGGCGCCTGGCATACAGTAGGCGCACCATCCGTGCTTGAGTAGGGGCACAAGAAAGGGCGGAGCAGCGACAGGCTGAGGAGGGACTCAGGAGGCCCTGGGCTTGTTTTTTGGTTGTTTTGTTCTTAAATGCAAATGAGCCCCTGCATGGAGGAGGGGCGCCCGGACAGCAGGAGCAGGGTGGGGGTGGAGGCAGCCCCAGCAGCCCCTATCCCAGAAGACACAGAGCCTCTGTCTGCGGGACAGAGAAGGTTCTGTCTCCTGTGATCACTTCCGCCCAGCAAACGCAGGCGCCGGGGGTGTGGGGGTTCTCCCACCTAAATAAATGCCTCCAAAATGACACTCCACTCCAGACCCCACGCGAGGCTCAACGCAGTTCCGAGCACTCACTCTTGGGGTGGCAGGGTGAGGTTCAGGAGGCCCACGCATGGCCTGGCAGGGTCAGCTCAGCCCTCCTGTGCCCTGTGCTCTGGCAGGGGTGGAGGAGCTGTGCCGGGACAGTCCCCTCAGGCCCCTCCCTGCCGTCAAAGGCATGAGCTCAGGGCCCCAGCAGACAGCAGACTGCGTGGGGTCCCATGGTGGACAGCAGAGAGGGCTGTGGGGGTCAGGTGGTGAACACCCCAACCTCCCTGTCCCTCCTCGTACCAGGTTTCCCTCCACCCAGAGCCCTCTGGGGACCCACGATGACTTCCTGGACCCTACACCAGCCCCCATGGGCTCTGATCTTGACCCAGCCACCCTGGGCCCTTCTGGCCCCTCCCAGGCAGTGGCTCTGGGCTCCCTGCTCCCTGGCCTAAAGGGCTGGCCCCTCCATCTGCTCAGGTGTCCGTGAGGCCCCAACCCCACTAACCAGAACTCCCCATCTAGCCAACCTTCTACCTTCTCACAAATGTGTGGGGCACAGGCCTTGAGGTGGCCTCATGACCCACCCGCCCCAGCGTTCCCACCCTTGGGTGACCCCTTTCCTCCAACAGACTCATGGAGGAAACTCGTCCGAGGCACGTGCATCCCTCCACCTTTCTCTCTTGAATGCACACACTGGGAACCAGCAGCCATGCTGTGAGGAAGCCCAACCAGCTGCGGGGAGCAGCCCTGTTGAGGTGTCATAGGCAGCTGTTTCGGCTGACAACTGTCACCATCTGCCAGGCCTGGGTGTGAAGACCCTGCCCAATGGCACCATCCATCAGCTGACCTGTCACCCCAACCCTCAAGTCCTCCCAGCTGTCAGGACCAGAGGAAAGCTGTGCCCCTATTCCCAGAACACATCTCCCCCTTACAGAGCCCATGGATAAAATAATGCTGCCTTGTGCCATCAAGCTCCAGGGGGCTTCTCAACAAGCGACCCTGGCCACCTTCCAGATAGGATGTGCCCCCTAGGCCGGCTGGTTGACATACACTAGGTGCTCAAGAGAAGCCTGCTGGGCCGGGCGTGGTGGCTCAAGCCTGTAATCCCAGCACTTTGGGAGGCCGAGACGGGCGGATCACGAGGTCAGGAGATCGAGACCATCCTGGCTGACACGGTGAAACCCCGTCTCTACTAAAAAAATACAAAAAACTAGCCGGGCGAGGTGGCG